CACAGACCCTGATTCTACTTCCAGGTGTCAAGGGTGAACCAAGAAATCCAGCTGAGTCCCCTTGAAGTAAAAAGACTTGATAACGAAGAAGACCTGACCTCCTTCTCCAGGGGCAATGGGTGTTGTCTTGGGGTAGCCCTAACTTTGGAAGTTGACTGGAATATGGGGAGGCTGCCTTGAGGAGCTGACTTGGTAAGGGCCAGAGGTCTCATGTGAAACCAGGAACAGAGCATGCAGGACAGCCTACAGGAGTAACAATCCTGTTTGTAGGCATTGGGTGGTAAAACATAGCAGAAAACCATCCTGCCCAGAAGTCACACCTAGACAACAAGAAATTTTCTCCAGACCAAGCCAGAAGTTATTTCCTGAAGCCTCTTTGCCGCCAGACTCCTTTGGAGGAGTGGCAATACTCAGTGTATGGCTAACACAGTCTAGAAGCAGGCCATGGCTCCAGTTCTGGGCAGCTCCTGTGGGCACACGTGCAGGGGGAGGAGGAAGAGGATGCGGGTGGGGTTGGCGGCTTCCTCAGTTTTGTTTCTCAGTCTATTGCAGAAGAGAGGCATTTGTTAGCTCTCGCTATTTCTAAGCCTTTGTAATCACTCTCCTCTCAAGGTTAGCCTGTGTAGGTTCCCTGGGTGGCTGCAGTTTAGTACCTGGATCTTAATTCAACCTCTCTCCCTCCCTCGCTCCCCCTGCCAGAGCTGACAGAAGTGGGCAGCTCGGGCCCCTGGTGAAGCTGTCAGTCTGTGTTGCTCAGATGATGTTGTGGGGATCGGGGTGCGACCCTGGGACCACCACTGCGCTGGAGAAACAGGTCCACAGCCCTTCAGAGCAATTCTCAGGGTGGCCGTCATGACAAAGAGACTTCCAAGGGCTCGAGGAAGTGCCGGGGAGTCAAAATGCTGGGACCCAGATTATCTGCACACACAGACGTGGCTTCCAACAAACAGGTCCTTCAGGAGACCTGCACACGGCTCACCTCCATGGCCGACTGAGTCACCCCGCGCCGCTCCTCCACCTTTTCCTCCCGCTCCCCGGCAGGTGAACGTGCTGAAAACCGCATGGGGGGCGAGGACAGTGCCTCTGTGTGTGTGTGTGTCTGCGTGTGTGTGTGTCTGTGTGTGTCTGTGTGTCTGTGTGTGTCTGTGTGTGTCTGTGTCTGTGTGTCTGTGTGTGTGTGTGTGTGTCTGTGTCTATGTCTGTGTGTGTGTGTGTGTGTGTGTGTCTGTGTCTATGTCTGTGTCTGTGTCTGTGCGTGCAAGGCAAAGCTCCGGCTGACCAGCGCGATTCTGAGGCGATTCTGCGCGCTCCTACCAGAGCGGTTTCCGTGAGGCGGTGCCACAGCGCCACCTGGCGGGCCGGGCGGCTGGGGCTCGCTCGGCTCCCGTGCTCCGCCCCGCGGGAAGCAGGGATGGCGCTTCCCGCTGGGATCGCCGCGCCGGGCAAACCTCGCTGGCACCTCAACAGCTCCGTCACGGTGAAGAAACGCGTGGGCAGCCCTCGAGCCCAGCCCAAGGCAGCCCTGACTGCTGCGTCACACCACAGCTTCACTGTAAACGCACGCATTACCCGCTCTCAGGGCACTCTTCTTCCACGCACTGCTGGTGCTGTTGTTCAGGTAGCAGAGACGCTTTGTAGGAGGGTAGGAAAGTGCACAACATGGGGTTGTGAGGTCTTAGGAGAGTTAAGTGAATTCACTCACAGGTTTTGAGGTGTTTGCGGTGAGATTTGGGGTCCCAAAATAAACTGAGTGTCGTCGATTGTCACTGGGAATACAACACAGTGCAATAGTTTTGGTGCTCACACATCAGAGTGACAAGCTACTGGACTAAAGGAAATTCAAGACAATGTGTACAATAAGCAGATGTGGATTTTAGACCATCCAAGTGGCAGAAATGGGGAAAGATAAACTGAAACAAACAGAGGGCAAGTGTGGACAGAAATCCTGCAGCAAGCATTTTGGGAAGACCTGGAAGACCAGTCCACGTGATCACTAATGGTTCTTGCACAGTGCTACAAACAGGCTGTGACAATTTGAACATAAAGAACAGGGGAAGTTTTTAAACATGTAAGAAAAGTTGGGGGTTTTTGAGCACATCACTTTTCAGTTAAGGCAATCACAGGAACTGGCAGTGATGCAGGGAAGACAGCAATGGCCGTCTGTGTAAGAGACAGCAGTGCTGCTTGCCTATACTTTTTGTTAAACAGCCAGTGTAACCCAAAGCTTTACTGGAAAAAAAAACATAGAGGAGGGACAAAGCCAAGTGCAACCAATACCTTCATACTGAAGCACTAGATGTGGTGTTTAAGTCCAGTTCTGGTAAATTCTATTTTGGCCAGAGGCATGAAAGGGATAGGCTATCTAGAGAGGCCAGATACTGATTGTCTGACCGTCAGTACCAGCAGGAGAGACTGCCCATGGCCTAAGCACAGTCTGCTCTGGAGAGAGAGCTCTGTCTGGCAGCTGGAATGCTGCTGGCCTGGACCTGTGATAGCCTGAAGCACTTGGAAAATCCCAAACAGAAGTCACCGTGGGGCCTACATCTATAGTCCCATTCACAGAGTTTGAGGACTAATTCCTTCAGTTGTAGATGTGAATGCAGACTTCATCCAGTTACTTTCTTTTACTCTATAAATTTCCCTAACCTCTCCCTCTTGTCACTGCTGTACCAGCATATGCTGCACCACTGCTACTCTGTCCCCTACTAAAATCTGGCTCAAGTTTTAACAACAGTTTAGGGTACCTCTGTTTTCAAGGCTCTAGACCGAGAGCCTTTTCAGATTTTAACTTCAGCTACACCAGTGGGTGCTCACTTCTTTTCAAAGAGTATCCTGCAGCATCCTACATCTATGAGCCACAAAGTAATATCCATGGGACTCTGATCAAGGGGAAATCAGCTGCCTTCGAACATCAGAGAACTGTCTGTTGGGTAAAACAAATCCAGCGCCTGTGTAGGACCCTGCTGAACCTGATCTCAGGGTCCCCAGTGATGTATCACACCTACATACACACATACAGAGAGAAATTATAGATCTGAACCGAAAAATCTGCTCTGGATCTGGATCTTTCCAGATCCACACAGCACAAGAGATTTCTAGAGTGGAAAAGAAGAGAACAGGGAAGACCACATTCATCCCTGGTTACAGGAAAAAAAACCCATCACACTACACACAAAAGTGTCATTCATTACCAGTGAAACTGTCTCATTATAAGTCCTTTGTTAATCGTGAAAAAAAAGGTTTTCCATATATTCTTCCCTCCCTCATGGTCTTAGGCACAGCAAATTAATAATAGTGAATGTCCTTTGAACATCTTGAGACTACCCAGACAGAGTTGCCATTAGCTAGTATTTCACTACAGCATATAACTTGGCCTGGTTCCTAACTCCAGCCTGTTAAGCCTTGCATTTACTCTTGGTGCCGAGTCTAAGGCCTGAATGGCTCCCTTCCATTTCTGCTGTATCCCCTCCTTTAAGGTGGCATTACACCCTCTGCCAGGTGTAACTGTTGGCTAATCAGCGTTATTGTGCTAGTAAATCACCCGGGGTGAAAGGCTAACAACGCTCCAGCAGGTTTGCAGAGAGGAGGTAGAGGGGGCTGGGCTGGGATTGCAGGGCTGGTAAAATGGTAAACGTGCCCTCAGGTACTGGATGCACAAAGTATTTAGTCTGCCAGCAAACAATGGCTATGGAGTGGGAATGAAGGAAACAGACAGGAAATTACATGCTTCCAAAACCTCTGTAAGAAGACTAATTCCACTTAGGAACTGTACAAAAGTTAGCTCTCAGATCAGGGTGCGGCTGGAGGAGCTGGCAGAGTGGAGAAATTCCACACGCGGCACTCACCGCCCTCGGCCCTTTGCTGGAACAGGGGCAGAGCGCTGCGGGTACAGATCCTGGGGCACTTCTTCCTACTCGGCATCGCTTGCTCCTTCGCCGCGGCTTTGAAAGAGAAAAGTTTTGTCTCCCAACACAACCCACACGCTTCTCAGCCCGTTCGGCTCCAGGAGCAGTGGCACAAGGACAGCCAATAGATGGAATGAGCCAGAGCCAAACCTGCTCGGTGGTGAAGAATCTGGCCTTCCTGGTGGGAATATTCCTTCCTACTCCTCACCCCTTGGTTTGGCAACCACAGGTGAGCACGCACAACGCTCGCATTCCTTTTCTCATCAATAAAGTAGAGATGTGATGTGGCCAAGTATAATAAAGTTTATCTTCACAAACCACTGGGATATCCTTGGATGAAAAGCCATGTGTTAAACTGACAAAAATGCAAATAATAAAGATGTGCCATAAACATCACAGGAAATACACTCGTGGTTTTGGGGAATGATGCAGCCAGCAGCTGAAATGCAACTTATTGCAGTGCTCAACTTCCAGGTGTGCCCCGTGCTGCAAGCAGTTGCATGCTGTAGGATAAGGCTTCCTTCCCCTACGAGGAAAATGCCCCGTGGTAAGAGAACTGCTAGCATATTCAGATCACATCATGCCAAACATGCAAAGAATGAAAGAATAGTTTGGGTGGGAAGGGACCCTAAAATTCATCTAGTTCCAAACGCCTGCCATGGGCAGGGTCACCAGTAACTTGGCTTATAAAGGGTGTCAGCCTTGAAGCCTTATATGTACACAAGTTGCATGTGCAATATAAGAATCTCTAGTACAGTATTTCAAAAGTGAATTTGCCTACAGGAAGATTCCAGCACCTGTGGCCATTTGGTTGTTGGTTTCTCTGCTCAACTGTCAAGAGCAGAAGGTATCACACAAACCTGTTGGCAAGGACTTGCAGAAAGAATCCTTTTGCCATTCATTCAAACAGCCACTGCTAGTCATGACAATAAAATCCTATCCTATCCTCCAGTTAATCAGCATCTGGTCACTTACATATCATAGCTGGTTTCTAGCTTACATTTTCTTGCTTCTATACAGGTATACCTACAAATAAATTTCTTCGTGATCATGTCAGAAAGATTGTGTGAAGTGAACAATAACAAAACTGCGAAGTAAGCCAGAAAAAGGTTTGATTTTATTAGGAATGGTACATTTAAATACATGTAAGACTTTGGGATTAATTTACATATTTCTTCCAAAAATGTTTCCCTTCTTTGACAATACAGAAGTTTAAAAAAAAAAATCTAATTCCAAATTTTAAGAACAACAATATTTGCAGTGGAAATTTCTATTAATCAAAACAAATGTGCATTACAGAGATTTTGACTACACTTTTCCTGGGATTATTTTTTTTGCTGCTCTCATTACTAAAATAACCTTCCTTTCCATCAAGACTATTGCTAGTCATACACATGTTATTCAGTATCACACTTTTGGGTATGAAAGCTATGTCACTTTTATAAACATCAAAAACATGGACATGCATATTGACATTTCTGTGCAGTTTTATGAAGTCACCTGTCAAATAAGGCCTATACATACAATACCACATACTAGTGAATTACTGTAAAATTATTATAATGGATTCCCAATAATCCTGACATCTGGATGGTATGTCTCATTTTAAAAGAAAATTCCAGCTTTCATTACTGCTTAACATTGTATTAATTCATTATCCAAGTGAGCAATATTCAACTAACCAATGTGTATTCCTGAAAGTCTTTTGCAAATTAAGCATATTGTCAATGTCATGTAAAGCTGGAACTTAAAACAGCCTGTTAAGCCAAGCAACAGGGAAAAAGGGGAACTCTAAACTAATTTAATCTGGTCCATTCATTCTCGCACAGAAAAGTAGCCACAGAACCTTAAAGGAATTAAATCTATACTTCCTGTTCTCAGACTTAATACCAAGGACAAAAGCTAACATAGTATTTTGGAAGTCAAAGGCCTTGGAGATGGAGGGGAAAGAAGGGGAAAGAGAGGGAGAAAGCAGCGTATTGTCTCATCCCATTACCTCAGCATTATGTGTACATAATATATCTATGATAGAAATGTTCACTAATAGCAGGGAAAAAAATAAAAAAGACTTCCCACTCCAGACTTCACTGAAAGAAGAAAGCTGACAGCCAGCCCCTCCTCACAGAGATGGCCTATTTGATGACAGGCACTTTGGCAATGTAAGAGGAGGTCACCCTTTCATCATGTTAACTCTTCCCCTCCCAGTTCTCATATATAACTTGTCTCAAGTCTTCAAGAAACTTGAATCAAATTAATTAATACATCTCTCAGAGCAGGTTAACTACGGCTATGAGCAGAGCTCGACCTAGAACGAGATTTTCTTTTAGAAGAAGAGGGAGAGGGGGAAGAAGCTATCAAGCTGGAGCGGTGGCTTTTGTGGGAGTAACTCTTTTTAGGAGTACGACTGCGAGAACGAGAGCGGGATCGAGAGCGAGATCGGGATCGAGAGCGAGACCTGGACCTGGACCTGGACCGGGACCTTGACCTGGACCGGCTGTCCGACCTGGAAGATCCTGTAGACCTGGACCTGCTGCGAGATCTTGAGTAACTCCTTGATCGGGATCTGCTTCTAGAGAAACGTAATTAGAAGCTGTAGTCTGATCTCTTACCAAATTTAAAACAATCATGTAAAATTCTTTGCTACTTTGTATACATAGCACATGCATCTGAACATCTGAAAGTGCTATTCACAGCATTCAGTCATTTCACAGTGCTGCTAGACTTTTGCTATGCTCCATCATGACAGTATCTTCTTAGGTCAAGGCTGCCAGGAACTGCTGGCCTTGCCATTCTCTGCTAGCATAGTAAAATATAAACTGCCTAACAAAAGATGTCTCTCCCCAGCTCCTGCCAGGAAGAGAGAAACTGATTTTTAGGCAGGGGAGTCTCTAGCAAAGAGGAACTCTTTGTCTGCATACACCCTGCCTTGAAATAGCATTTAATTTATCAAGAAAAACACAGAAATGAAACTTTATACCCGTGGTGTTTATCCTCTCTAAAAATGCCATGCAAATTATTAAGAGTTTCTTTCAAGAGGCTAAGAAAGTCTCTAAAGGTGTGGATCATTAGCACAGTTTAAGACCTTAAGAGTTTTAACACCTTCACTAGTAATGCATCCCTTTTTTCATGGAAAGAAACGGATTTATTTTTAAGAGAGACAATGAAAGAGCTGCAGCCAACATGTTTTTTTTAATGAACAGCAGAACTGCTTAGGAATAATGGAAGCAAGCTAACTGATTTTCTTTTATTCTCATGAACAAGTTGGCTTTCACAACTATTAGAGAAATATTTCGCAAGACTGTGAAACAGCCTTCCTTTAAATTAAACGTTTTTCATACCAAAAGTCATGTTTTTGTAAAGTTCTTTCTTTATAGTACCACATTTTGTCTTTTAAAAAAATCTTTACTCTCATTCAAAGATGTTCTATTTACCCTGTTTAAGCAAGTTATTTCTTATCTTAATCTGTTTACATTGCTAAAAAGTTGTTCTGTGCAGTGACATTTAGCTTGGGGCCAAAAAACTAGATAATCAAACTTTGGCATCAGTACTACCCAAATCCCTACTCTCAGCGGAATTTTATCATGTCAGGTGACATACCTATGCCTTCTGTGGTCTTCAGTCAGTTTAATTCTGCGTCCATTCAGCTCAGTGCCATCCAGTTTTTCCAGTGCACTCTTCATGTCACTGTAAGATGCGAACTCCACAACCCTGTGTACACCATGATGAAATAAAGGAAACATTTCAGAGAAGCAAAAAAAGTAAGGAAATCAAGTCTTTTTAATCCACTGAGTCACAGCTTTCTGTTTTATCTTCTCAAAGCTAGTTTCTAACGTGGTTAACAGGAAAATATGACACCAACAGTCCAAGCCATCCATACCTCTCACATCTTCTTAAACAATACCAGAACTGCCATCTGCAAGGAGATGGAGAAAATGCAGGAATCTACACAAACGTACATCAGCTGAGGAAACATCTTTCAGTCCTCCACTAAACCGCATTCTAAAGCTGTCCATGAAACAAAGTAAGTTTGTACACTCTTCTGCCCTATTTAAGAATTTTAACAATGAATAGAAAAATCCAGTCTTTGGGTTTTTTTTTAATTGGAACTCAAAACTGGTGTAAGTTGCATTGGTTTACAGCAGCCCTAGAGCCGTTTTGCCAGCACACTTTATTCATGCTTTCTTCTCTCCTGCTTTGTTGTGCAGGACCTTCGTAGTCTGCAGAACTGGGAAGGGAGTGGGCAGGTAGGTATTCCCCACGAAAGTTGGTTATGTTCATTTCTCATGACTTTGACCGCTGAACCAGTGTAAAGCAGCCACAGACAGGTGTTTTAGCCTCAGGACTCAGATCATAAATGATTACATAAAAGTAAGACAGCAGGACTTAACATATGAAAGGAATTCTCCCTTCCTTTTCTGCTTTTACACATTGTTGTCATGATAGAGAATAGAGACTGAGTTCAATACTGAACTCCTATTTATGGACAGTTTGTGCTTTGAATTGTTTTAGTTTCTCCAGTTCTCTTTAACTGGAGAAATTTCAACAACTAAGCCACACCACAGATTTATATTTCATTTCTTCTGTATTACAAGAAAAATCACACCCTTAATAGTTTCAGCTATCATATCACACAAAAACACAAAATGAACTTACCCTTCATTCCTGTTGTTTCTGTGTGCATCCACATAGGTGACTTCCCCTGCCTTTCTCATGACATCTTTCAAGTCCTACAGCAAAAGTTAGTATTTCAGTTTGAACAGGACACCAATCAGTCAGGTAGAAGAATACTCCCCTAAAACTTTCTCTGCTAAAACTGCTTAATGCTTTTTAATTTCTGTATATAAAAATATACGTATCATTTAGAAAAAAGTTTCTGAAACAGCTTATGTAATAGCAGCTGCATATAGAAGGGATCAGTCATTTTACAGCTACAGTGAATAAAACACTGCTCTCAAGATAATCCTACATCCCAAAACCAGCTGTTATGAAAACACAATGCAATACATAAAATACCAATATGTCTCCTGAAATCAGAACTATTGAAGATGAGAAGTGCAGTAGTATTAAATGCAGATTTTCATAACTAATGCCCCGGGTTAAATGACATTCCAATAAATGTAGACAAATTCAACCTTTATGCTCACCTCCCCCAGCTTCAAAGCAAAATTAAAAGCAAAAAGGTGTAATTACAATGTAATAAAAAATTTTACAAAGGAATTTTTTTTCTCAAGCTTCATCTGAGTCTCTGTCACGCTACAGTGTCACATCAATAAGACATCCTTGTCTAAAACTTAACAGAGGATAAACATGGACAAGTAAAATTACTTGCTTAGCAATAGGAGAAAGCACAAACAAATAGTGCAAAAGGTCACTAAAAAGCTAAACATTTGTCTAAGTTAAGGCAGCACTTTTACCCAACAGTATCTGGTATTTTATAATCCCAGACTACTTACCGCATCACACCACAAGTGGCAGGTGATATAAGAAGGTACCTTAAGCAAAGAGTTGCTTGTCCAATACCTAGCTGGCCAAGAGGAACTCTCTTACATGAGAAAGGCAGTGATGGCTCATAGCAATATGCTTCACGGAGGTACCAGAGGCCCTGAAAGCACTGGACATAGTCTCCAGTCTCCAGAAGTGGCTAAAGAACCCGAGGATGATCTGTGCTAGCCAATCGAGATCAAACCCAGGCAAACCAAGATCTAGACTGCCAAAAAACAGGAGTGTCATAGGAACCAAAAGGAAAATTCAGAACAGGCCAAACCCTAGAATTTCAGCCACTAGAAAACCCCCAAATCTTTGGTTCTTTTTCCTCCACACAAGAAAAATGAAGGTTAACCAAATCAAGGTTGTTAGAAGAGGTTCAAAATGCACTTGGTTAGAAATACACTTAAGGAACAAAAGACTACAAAACAAAAAGCCAAGAAAAAACTTTAGAACATTTGCCACAGAATATAAAAAAGCTTAGTTTCATCTAGTATTTTAATTCAGTAGTTTTATGTTAAAGACTGGCATATGCAAAGTAGCAGATATTTTCCTTGTTTCACAGGTCTTAATATAAAGAAACCCTAATAGCAAATGAAAATTGGTCCACATTAGTACCATTAAAAACAATACTTTAAATTACGTCAATTTAGAGATGATGGACAAAATTTTGGCTCTGATCAAGTCAATGAGAATTTAACCAGACCAGGACTGGTAAGACAAAAGGAAGTTAGAAAATGTTAATCTACATAATTATTGCCCAAATCAGTAACTTTAGGCTTTAGGATTGAGTCTCCTACAGTTTTGCCATACTATATGCTAAATCCTAAGAAACATTAACATGAAATATCGTTTGTAATCGCAATGTCAACATGATTAAGATGCCAACATTATTGCTTAAAAGAGAGGAAGTGTGCATGTGTTATAAAAGCTCGATATTCCGTTATTAGGGGAATATTTTAAAGTTACCTGGTATTACCTAACCAGTGGAACAATCAAATTTTACCCTAAGTTTACTGTTCTGGGTCACCTTAAATAGCACAAGAAAACCCTGCTGTCTTTAGCAGCAAAGAGAAACAAGGTGCAGGACAACCATAAAAAGGAAGAACATGTATTAAACAATACATCTTAATGTAACACAGACCTACTTTTCTCAACTGCTTGAAAATTTGACAATGAAAAACTGGTAAAGGTGGTTGGAAAGCTCTGAACATGCAGAAATATATGTTTGCTAAAAAAAAAAAGGAGAATTCTAACGGTTTGCCTACTACTTAGAGATGGGATTATCTATTAACAATATAGTCAACAATCTGAGGAAACTGATCCGAATACAAATTTTTCTGGCGTTTTCTATGTTTAAATATCCCAACACAAACTCTTTTAAGGGAGATAGATGTTCTCAATGTATGGTAATCTGGTCACACCAAAGATTAAATTCTGTGCATAAGTTTAAAAGCAGGTTCCATGAGTGTGCTTCCTAGTAGGGATTAGAAGCGAAGAATAATGGCACTACTGTTAATAGATTAGCCATTTTAATGTGTTGTAAGTAGCACAGTTAGAAGTTAAAACATTACAGTCAGTACCAAAGCAGTACAACTTCAAAAGGAAATGCAGCTTGCATATGGTTGTTACCTTCAAATGATGTCTACTTAGGCAGGTATCGAAAAGTCTCTTATGCTAACTTATCATATACTTAAGAGACATTAAAACATTTAATTAGAATACTAGAAGATTCACCAGTATGAAATCTGAATTGGGTGGGCTTCAGATTAAATATAAGTACACATAAAGCCATTATAAATATTCACAAGTAAAAGAAACTTACAAAAATGTTAATTTTTTTTTCAAGTTATGCATTTAACACTAAACAGCATTAAACGATGTATTTTCCTTAACACTCCATTACAGCTTACTTCTCTGGTCCCTACTGTCGTTTCCAAGTGACAATCTCTTCATATATGTAACTGTGTAGCATACCCAGAAGATATTTAGATTAAATCCACTTGATCATCACATCAACTCAGCTGGTTTTTTTTAGTTATTCAACAATCAACAAAACTGTACTGTTACAAACCCTTTGAACCTGTCATGCAGAAGATAAACAAACTGAGTTCAACCGTTTATCTGCATGGATTGCACCCAACTCTTATGAAACACAACAGCAGAGCTCCAGGCAAGCCAAGAAGCCTCCTTGTGGGGAAGTAGCTGAGGCTTTGAACATTGAACATGTTCTACTGCATCTTCCAGGACATTGATAAGTCTCTTTATTTGAAGAATATAACGGTTAACGAACAAGACTAAACTCCACTATTCACTCACCTTTTGTAAATAGTATCTGTTGCTATGTCCTTAAAAAGTGAACTTTCTATACACTGTATACTACGCAGAACACAACTAAAAGAATTGATTATATGGCTATTTTGTTAAAAGCCAGCTAAGTATTAGCAAAAAATTAGCAAGAGGTGAAAAAACAACAACAAAAAAGAAAGGTGGTAGGAAAACTTCCAATGACAAGTACTGAAAGTTTGGGTTTTTGAAAAAAGTATCTACAATAAGAATACTCAACACACTAGCTCTCTTAAAATTCCCTCTATTAATGATGCATTATCAGAATTCTTAATAATTAACTGGGTCACAAAAATACTTTGCAAAACATAAGAACAGACTATAAATTTCAATCAAAACAAAGGCATGCACTTCCACGTATAACAATACAAAAGAATGACATTGTTGAATGAATGCAACGTTTCAATATTTTAGAAACAATCTAGAATCTTCGAAAAGTTTTATCAGTTGGCAAACAGAAGAATAAATCAGTGCCCAACTACAATATCTAGTTACAGAACTATCTGCACAGCTTTGAAACAAAAGACTTCTGTAAGTGCTTGAATGCTAATTTTTAGCAATCCTTGAAGCTTTTCTTATTTTTTGTTCACATTAAATATTTATGATGGCTTTATTAAGAAATTAGGCTGAAAGCAGTCTACTTACGGAATAGTAAAATAAGGTGTAAGAAAGAGAAGATGCTAACTCACCTGCCAGCTGATACGGGATGAAAGGTTTTCAACAATGATCCTGTGTTCAGTACGAACAGGAGGCCCATACCGGCTAGAGGAATTCAAAGGAAAGAAAAGGAAAAAAGTTCTCCAGCATAAGGAATTTAAAACTTAAGAAATCTGACATTTTCTACAGTTTGCTGAAAGATTTAAGTAATTTCCTTATTGCTGGACTGCAGACTTGCTTCTTCTTTCAAGAGTATATTTAAGAGTCCACTAGAAAACTGACCCAATTTTTTTCAGAACATCCAGATCTTTCAAGTATTTAAACAAGAGGACCCAGAGTCACAAAACTAGCAGGATTAGTCTCATTTTTCCATTATTGCAAACCAGTCTCTTCCTGCCTAGCACTGGCAGTCTGACATCATGAACATGACTATGTCAGATGCCCATGACCTTCAATCAAGCAAACTTGCTACTTTGAAAGTCCACTTTTAGCCTGGACCTTGGACCAATTGTATCACATCAAGGTTACTTCCACTAAAGTGAAAAAAACCTAATTAGAATGCTTGCATGCTTGCATATGCTAATTAGATGTTCCAGACATTAGCTGGTAACTGGCAGCATTTCTGCCTCTGTAACAAAAGTGAAGGTTTATGTCCCTTGTATCTTGGTCTTTCTTCCAAACTCTACTCTTCATAGGCCACAGCTATCAATGTTTCTACAGAGTAAATTCCACACGTTTTCCTTCACACAAGTAGATATAAAGTACAAAGACATAACGTGTAGCTGTCTGGAAGAATATACGCAGATCTGCAGAACTTTGACTGCAAGCTGGCACAAGGTTCACCAGTGTCTCTAATCACTGAATGTGAACAACTTTGCAAATACTGCGTGTCCTCTAGAGGTATTCTAGGTATGAGCTGTGTCCTGGTTTTCACATTCCATTGCTGGAGAGACTCTCCTGCTTGGTCAGCAAACTTAGTTGAACTGGTATTTACTAACACGTGCAGAAGTGTTCATCTTGTGCCCTAGCACTGCTCCTTTCCTAGGCTGTGCTGAAATAAGCATTTTGATAACCATACAACTGGAAACATGAAAACTTGGTTAGACAGTAAATACCTTGAATTATTGCTCTACAATAATTCTACTTATCATGTAATCTCAGTTTGGTGACAAAAGCCACAATAAAGCAAGCGACTCTCCATTTTTCTTGATTTAGTGTTAAAATCAGCCAATCCAACTGCAGCAATACTCCTTCACGTCACTTACATACCAGTAGGAAGCAAGACCAGTGTAGTGCCCTACAGCATGGCAAAGGCACATTTCATAATAGGTTTGTAAACCTCTCCAAGACACTCAAACTGTTTTAGAATCCCCACTCCCCTCAGCCTGAGAAGGCAAATAACAGCAATGAACCTGCAAGGTTTGAGAACAATAAAACTTCTTTTGTGACACTATACAAGGAAACAGAGCTGGATCCCTAAATCATAAAAAGAAAACTCCAGTTCTTTCATTACTGGAAGAGGAAAAGGACAGAGCCCAGACCACCTACCTAGATCCACTCTGCGACTGGTAGTAACTGAACCGTTGTGAGAATCTTCCCCTTCCTCTTCGGGCTCGAGCATGTTCAATTGTGACCCTTATGACAGGAGCAAAACAAAACAAGCACATAAAAAATTAAAACAACAAACTTAAAGTATTTGACATTGACTTAAATCTCTCACAATGGGAAGCAAATGTGCACAAACAAGAATTATCTCGCCCTTGCAAGCAATGATTTATAACACAACCACTGGCATTTCTTAAAGAGTCAGACCAGTGTTTTTTCTCATTTGCTGCCATTGGATTTTCATGAAAATTGTCACAAGTCTGTAATTCAGACTGAAACACTTGAATTTCCTCAACCCAAGCGCAGGAGTAATCACAGAGAGAAAAGAATACTAAAATAACTCTTATTGCTATAATAATAAAATCAACCCTATGACCCAAAATACAGCTTCCATAATCACAATAGAAATTACTGCAACATACAATGACTACAGTCCACATTGCTGCAAATTGAAGGGCAACAATTCAAATGATAACAGGCTATCATCAGCTTATTTTCTGGTCAAGAGACAGATAAATACTAACTAAGTTCAATTCACTCTTACTAATATTCCTAATGACAAGACCCTGAGTTACCTTTGAAAGAGAACTAAGTGCAAGTTGAGAAAATGGTCAGCTCTGCTTCAAACCCCTCCTCCAGTCCCAAACTAATCTCTGCCTTAAACAAGACTGGATCCCAATGAATGCCTTTAAGGTTATGGAAGGTATATCCCACCACAGGAAATGCTGTCAGAGCATAAGATAATGCACTGCATTTTGATGCAAAGCACTTTTTCTATTCTTAAGGGAAATTATGGTATCACACTTACCTTTCATCACACAGCTCTTTACCATTTAGTTCATAAATTGCATCATCAGCATCCCTGTGGTCTTCAAATTCCTAAAAAGAAGATACGAATAAAAACATATTTTCCCTCACAGTATATGCAAACACTAATAAACATGCTTTCTTTATGAATTTTATGTTTCTACAGCAAGTATCACCAAGAACTTTGGCAAGAATAAGGAAGCTAATTCCGAGTACATTTATGACTGAAAAGCCAAGATGATCCTATTCATGGTAATTTCTTCTCCCTTCATCCCACTTTTTCTCCTTTTGCCTCCCAAATTGTTTCAGTATAACTATTAGCAACACCTATATTAAATAAATTAATTAAATTACCTGGTTTGCCACAGAAACATCTAAAATACTTTTGGGGAGAGGTGGGGGAAATTACTTCAAGGCATACAATTTAAAACACAGCTCCACATACTGGAATATTTGTTCACATTAAATATTTACGATGAACAGCTCCACATCCATGGAATATAACAGCATGAGCTGATCAAATACAGTGTGCTCCCAAAACTCTCCTTAAATTCTTACTGAACCAGCAAAGAAAGAGTAAACCAGAACAAAAAGCCCTCCTAATTTTTTTCTGAGTGAATTCAGTTCACTAGCTGGACAAAAAGGTGCCAGTGTAAGAAGAGTATGAAACATAAGCCCTTCTTCAGCACTGGCCACCTGCGGGTCCAGATCAGCTATAACAAGCATAATTCCATTTACAGTTGCGATGGAATCTGTCACTTTGCTTTTGGCAGAAATGCTGCTTTAGTCAGCCCAAGTAGCCTCTGCCCACTATCCAGCCCACTGGTTCTTGGCAAAGCTGCTTGTGCAGCTCGGCAGGAAACTAGGTCAAGAAACCTACCCAGATGAAAAACAGCACACTTTGTGCAGGAGGTGGGGTGAAAAAGTGTTATTTTTCAACCAGATCAGCTTCCCAGGTAGGTTCATTATGTGTGGCTGGACAACTGCAGCAACACCATGACAGGCAAGGGGACAAAGGAAAGAAATAAAGCAGAGAGAACAAGCAGCTGGGTAGGGATGCTGGCAGCAACACTGCAGATGGAGAGAAAAAATTGCAGCTTGCAAGGAATTAACAACGGAGAAGAAGCTTCTCAAGCTGAAGAAAGTGTTTGCATAACTATAAACTGCTTTTTAGAAGCAATACTCACTTAAGCAATCTTCCCCTTCTACACTGAAATTTGTTTCACTGCAAGCGAAACATCACATATCCTTTCATGATGATGCAAAGATTATCTTAACACACTTAATTTAGGTCCAGAATTTAAAAGCATCAATAGTTGGCAACTACTAGTGCAATTACGTCAGCTACTTTCTAACAAACAGAACATCTGCAAGTCTATCTAGCTTTATGGTCTGAAGTTTGAAAACACTATGCCCTGAAATCTAGAAAATTGAAGTAAATATAATTAGTTTTGAAGATTAAGCAATTATTTCAATCAAGCACAACAAAACACACTTTTAACACTACAACAATATTAATTTGGTTTTGTAATATGTTTTATAAATACAGGTCTTAAATAACAGAAACAGCACACGGCCAGTGAAGTGCCATGAAGGATTATGCCACTCTATGTGTCTATAAATTATATGGATGACAGGGTGAAGAGCAGCCTCACCAATTTTGTGTCTGACACCAAAGTGGGAGGAGAATAAGATATACCAGAATGAAAAACCATGCCACATAAAGACCCTGACAGGCTGAAAGATTAAGCAAACAAGAACCACAAGTCTTAACGAAAGATAAAACAAAGTGCTGCATGTGGCATAAGACATTCCTAACCAGCAGAATGTGCCAGGGGCTGAGTGGCTGGAGTGTAGCTCTGCTGAAAAGGACATGGAAATCCTCGTGGAGAGTCAGCTAAGCATGAGTCAGCAGCGTGGCCTTGCCGCAATGAACACAAATCGCATCCTGGGCTACATCGGTAGGAGCACTATCAGCAGACCAAGGGGTGCTATTATTCCACCCTACTTGGTGTTCATTAGGCTACACTTGGAACACTGTGTCTAGCTTTGGTCCCTTCAGCTCATAAAAGACATTGAAAACTTGGACTGAGACTAGCAGAGGGCCACCAAAACTCATCACAAGGTTTGATAACAAAGAAACATTAAGAAAGCTGTGTTTGGTCAGCAGGAAGAAAAGGCAGCTCCAAGGGAAGCCAGTCGGAGTCTTCCAAGATCTAGAGCACAGTTACACAAACAATGGAAGTGATTTCTGATATGAGTGCACAATGATGGGATGACAAGTATGGGAGCTAAAGCTGTTCAGCTGCAAAGAAAAAAAAATTATCCTGAGAACAATTAAATTTTTTAGATAAATTTATGAGACAATTATTCACGCTTAGTGATCTTTGAAAATAAAATGGTTCCACCTAGGAACTAGAGAGGAGGGAGGATTGACTGACTTGCTTACAAGAGTTGAACAGAAGTTGTTCCTGAATGAGTCAACAGCCCTGCCCAGGAAGAGAAGAGGAACACTCAAGGAAAGGCGACTCAGAAATAGCAGCAATTGGAAAGAGCACTCCAAATGAACTCAGGCTAGTGTCTAGATTTTAGACTGTTTAGAGATGGGTATTTATCTACTGGTAGTCAACAAGAAGCAGCTCATAATGCAGGGGAACCAGGAGCCACCACGTGTAGGAGTTAAGGAGCAATATTCACATGAAACTAAAATAGGCAAAGCCTCTCCTTTTGTTCTTTCCCAATAACTTCACTCAAGGGATTGATCCTGGCAGAAAGAGTGACATGTAAGCCCTGCCATGGTGTGAAGGCAGTATCAGCCTTTCAAGTCTGAACTGAGCGCTGTACAACAGCTAATTCTCAGTTCTCCTGAGATCATAGTTAAAACACAGGCTGATCCCGACTCAATCTGTGAACCTGTAAAGCTGCAAAATTTGAACATTTAGGAACACAGAGCTCAAGAAAGCAGTGGTAGGTAACAGAGATACAATGAACTATTTCATTTAATAGTCTGCCAGACATATATGCCCTATGAATGTGTTGAACTTTTGCTGCACAAGATTTCAAAGCTGTGCTGCTTGAATCCATCTGCCAGTATCTATTATACCTGTTGTCTTAGCCAACTACTCTGCTTTTATGTCAGGCCATTATTTAAGACATATGATCAAGGAGACTACAAGGTGTGTGTGAGAGGAGCTTAAGTGATTCTGTATAAAATTTTCTTGCTGGTCAAGAGTGCAATATTTTGTACTGCTGTAACAGGGTATTTATACAGTCTTCAGAAATGAGGGGTACATTTAAAATCCATGGAAGACTATGATCAAACAATGTGTTTAATGTAGCTGGAATATAACCAAGATTTTGAGCAAAACCTAGCCTCAACTGTAATCCAAAATTATGAAAAGCATTCTGAAATGTGTATTATTATTTTCCATTTCCCACTGCAGCTCCTATTATCTTAAACATCTTCCTTCCCTTGACGTCATCCTAGCAAGGTTAGTACCTGCAAGCAAAACCAAGCAAAACAAATCTGTTACTTACCACAAACCCAAATCCATTTTTTAGATGGATTTCTCGTATGCGACCATATCCTTTGAAGAATTTCTCTACATCCCGTTCACGAGCACGTGAGCTCAAGTGTCCAACAAAGACACGGCAGCCACTCATCTTAAGGTTGATGCTAAAAAAGAAAACAGCACCGTTTATCAGATTAACAAACTTAAAATAGGGTGATTAAGATGACTTTTACATCTCAGAAATCTTGATTAAGTAGGATTTGATTTTAGTGGGTCCAAGTAGACACATTAAAAGCATGATTCTCTACAGCCAGAAAAGTGATAAAATCTTATATTGCTGACTTCTAGCAGAACCTACAAAGAACTTCCAGTTTTGTACTTTTAAATCGTAAAACTTAAAATCCCAAATCTGTAACTTCAAAGATTTTACTGGGTTAGCAGCTGCTGGAAAAAAAAACCAAAAAAACACAATTCATATGCTAACCATTAAAATAACAACAACATAAAACATTCTTAGAACTTTTGCTTTCACCTAGAAAAACCTCTGCAATAAAATTTTATTATCACACAAAAGATCAATTTTAGTCATAAAATTATTTCAATTTCCACTAACCATAAATATAACTTATTTTAACAGTCTATCTGGTTTTGAAGAATAATTTTGGATTATGAAATTTCAACAATGCAAAAATAAAAAAGGTTATTTGGGGCATTCAAATTTTTAAAGCTATCCACTGACCCAGGATATATAATTTGAGATATTCTGTGTAAACTCCATCTTTTACCTTAAGGTGTCACTTTTTCAATTTATGTAGTCTAAAAATTTTTAAGATCTTGTAACTGAAAAATATTAATTATCTGGCTCACTCAATGAGCTTGCTGTCATAATAAAAAAACCAAAAAATTCGAGCCCAAAGGAACGGAAATAAGATGTGATCTTGCACTACAATATTGGGCTCTAAAGCAGACAGAATAAACAGACGTGTCACGTTAGCTGTGAAAATAATTCCAGTCAGCTTGGATACAGTATTTTGGATTAATGTTATTTAACTTCTCTGTTAACTTACACCCATTAGGTTTCTACTGAATACCTTCTTTACTCAGACTTACCATGCCATCAGAGAAGTGCCAGTTTTGGAAGTCTGGGTACCGGCCTTTTTATGGGCCGAGAGGTTAAACTGCGACAGCACTTACTTGGATTGGCCTCAGCCATCCCCGAACCTCGGAAGAGCCTACGCTGCCCTTTGTAGCCATTCTCTCCTTTGTGCTCACACGTGCATTTTGATGCCCACACGGAAATCCAGTTCAGGGGGCTGGTTTAGCTCCCTCGCGGAGTGCCCAGTCTTCCAACACACGGTTTCCCTGGCGCACCCTTACCACACAAACACCGACCAGGCCAGCAGTGGGTATTAAGGGAAAGGCAGGCCCTTGTAGAGGAAGGACAGCCTTACGTAACTGTACGCTTTAAAACACGGCAAAAAACAGCCACTTTGGCAACAGCGCTCATTTTGGGAACAACAGAGATTTGAAAGCTTAAAATGACTGCGTAACTGCTGCTCGATATTTTTAGTTCTAGGAAAATAAAGTGGGGAGAAGAATCACAAAAGGAAATTAACACGGTCGGTGGAACTAACCACCACTAAACTGCCAAATACACTGCAAAAGACGTACGAACAACCCATCCGCGCACTATTTACTCATAATAAGGGAGCACAATGGATGCAAGATCTGTATTGACAACGACGAGGCGCGGAGCTTCACACGTTGCTCCTAACACAATGAAATCGAGTTCGACCGCTGACGACTCAGTAGATGCGAAAAAGCCCTCCGGAAGCACGGACCCGCAGCAAGCGGCCATCTGCTCCTCCCTTCTTTCGAGAAGCCGAGAGAATCCGGGGCTGCGCCAGGCCTGCGGCCTGCCCAAGGCAGCCGGGCCCTCTTCACGGGCCCGCCGCCATCGCGGCGCCGGCCCACGCAGCGGCGCCGGCCCCTTCGGCTCCCCGAAGCTTTGCGCTCGCCTCCAATCCGCGACGGCTCCTCCCGGCCATCCTGCCGGCATCAACCCTCCCCGCTCGGGGCAGCGATGGATCGCGGCCCCTCCCCTCCTCCCCCCGGCCGCGGCCGCGCCGAGCGCCCGGGCCTGCGGCGCCGCGCGGCGCCAGCGCGGCCTCCGCCCGCGGCTCCCCGGCATCGGCCCATTCCCACCTCGCCGAAGGGTACCGCCGCCAAAACCCCACCGGTGGCTCCCCGCGCCCGTCTCGGTCCCCCCGCGGTGAAGGGGCGGTCACGCACCGTCGCGGAGCGGCGAGTCCTGCGGGCCGTGAGGGAACCGCTCTGCGGCCGCGGCGACAATGGCTGCCGGCTGCTCCACCGACCGACCGCCGCGCGACCGCCGCGCCTGCGCGCAACCGCCCGCGCAGCCCCGCCCCCAGCGCGCCGCACGGCACGACGGGACTTGTAGGCGCGGGGAGCAATGGCGGCGGCCTGAGGGAGCGTCACAGGGACACCTCCCGCCAGACCGGGGGGCTCAGAGAGCCGTCCAACCTGGCCTCGAACACTGCCAGGGTGCGGCATCCACAGCTTCCCTGGGCAGCCTGGTCGCTCTGAACCGCCTGTGACTTTTTGAGTGAGACATGGCAAAAAAGATGGGTAACAGTTCTTAAATTGGAGGAGTAAAGTCACACGTCCAGAGAATTCATCTGAAGCGTTGCGCTCGGCAGCTCAGTTCTGCCAACAGAAGTGTGCTGAGGCCAGCCCCTTATTACCATCTTCTCTTCGGAGCACAGAATTACACCGCTTTGGATAACACCGCAATATTGTTAAGCGCTGACACCAGGGGGAAACCTTGGCTGGGGAAAAGCGTCTAGAGAAGATCCAGGCCTGTATGGTAGAAAGCAGTTTTTCCGTGAATAAACAGCACACTTCTTTCCTGCTTTATCGGTGTCAGATATACTCACTTTATGGATACTTTACAGTATAATGACCAAGATAGAAATTATCTGTTTTGTCACTGTAGCATACCTTGTTAAGTCTTCACTGTCCCAAGGCTTAAAATAAAACTACAGTTTGGTTTCCCTCTTTTTCCCCCTTGTCTGACAGCATCATGTCTGGATTTCCTGTTTTAACTTGGAGTAAATATCTAAATTGCATTTATGATATTGTATGTTAGATTCAGGCATCATTCAAATTTGTTGCCCTCTCTAGGAGGGAGATAACCTATGCATTAAATATCCATATAATAAACAGAATCTTTCAGGTTGGAAGCGATCCTTTGAGATCATCTGGTCTAGTTCCCCAAGGTTGCCCAGGACCATATCCAGCCACCTTTTTTAGTATATCTCCAGATGAAGGCTCCACAACCTCTCTGGACAACCTAGTGTCTGACCATCCTTACAGTAGAAAGAAAAAGTATTTCCTTGTGTTCACATGAAGTGTCATGGGTTTCAGTTGTCAGTGGATGCTACTTAGAAGAGTCTGGCACCCTCCTCTTATTCCCTTCCATTCAGGTATTGATACACATTCAGCCTTCTCCAGGCTGAACAATCCCAGCTCTCTTGGCCTCTCCTTACATGAGGGTGCCCCGCTCTCACAGTCATCTTTGTGGTGATGTGCTGGATTTGCTTCAGTAAGTCCATGTCCCTTTAGTGGACGTAACACTCCAGATGTGGCCTCAGCAGTGCTGTGTAGAGGGGCAGGATCACCTCCCTTGGCCCTCCAGGGACACTCTGGCTAATGCAGCCCAGGATGGTGTTGACTTTTACCACAAGGCAGCTGATGTGAGCTCTTGGTAAGAAAATGGAGAAATGTGACAACAGAACACAGCTAGCTGTGGTTTAAAAAGAAAATATGGGCAACTGTAGCTGGTGCAAGTATGTCTTACAACTCTGAATGCAATGTTTAGTTGTAAGGCCGCTTTACCTCTTTATTTGATAAGACAGTCCAGGACACTCAAAATAGCAATGCTGTGACTTTTTGTTCTTTTTGTTTTGCAATTCTGTGTAGGTGGCAGAGCTGGACTATTACAAGAACAGCAGTAGAGTCTCTGTGTGAGCTAAGAAGCTCAGAAACAGAAAAAAGCTCCTTAGGTGGCAGTCCTGGAATGGTATGGATGTAATAGGGATTGGAGTTACTGGCAGTAATGAAGATAAGTCATGCTAGAAGCCCAATTAAAGCTTTTTCAGTTTTATCCTGCTTCTCTTCAGCCTCTGGGATTGTGTCAGCAGGGAAGAATGCGGCTGTGCAGCTGGAACGCAGCTCTGGCTGCCTGGTAGTGCCTGAGCCAGGCTGGAATACTGCTTTCCCTTTCTTGGTTGTGGACACTCTGCATGGGTGGTAAAAGGCATGAAATCTATCAGTAGGAGAATCTGCAGCATTGCCTCTTGTGTGTGGGTAGCGTTTCTGGAAGCTATCACGTGCAAAATCAATTTTAGTAATAATGCTGTGTTTTAGTTCCCTCATTTTGCTTGCACAAAAGGATTGGTCTCTCAGAAGCACATCTGAAAGCCCACTGGTAACTATTACTGTCCTGACTGCACATCTACAAATGTAAATAAACACTTACCTAGAATCAGAATACTTAAAAACCACAATCTGTTTATTGTTGGGATAAATTAACTGCTTTCTCACTTCCCTGAAGAAGAAATTTTATTTTCTCTGTCCCAGAAAGCAGGATGCTGTAGGTCAGCACCACAGATTAAATATTATGTCCTATTCATTAAGGAGAGAAGGTCTTCATTAAAGTGATCGTGATGGTCATGTTGATGTTTGAATGTGCTTAATAATAAAGGTATAAAATGCTTTCTTAACTCTGCAGATTAAAGTAGTCTTTATTTTTCGGCAAGTCCGTACAATGAAAGCCACAGGGTCGTACAAATAAGCCACAACAGCAATTAAGAATCTAGGGGATTGTCTGGGAAAAGGTTTTAACTAGCTGTAGGATGACTGTAGCACTCAGATTGGAAGGTGACAGAGCTGGGCCGGTTCATTGCTCCACCATGAACCTTCCTGACCACCACAGGCAAGTCACCTGTAGCTGGAGACAATAACCACTCAGCTGCATTCCCTCCAGCACCTAACAGGTGCCAGCCATCCAGAAAGAATCTGTACAGGAAAGGTCTTGTACAGGACATTTGGAAACAAAGAACACCAGCAAATGAGCGAGGTGCTGCTAGGAAGCACTGGTGAGAGGTCTAGGTCTGAACATCCTGCCCCTGCTCAACATAAATGCACCTGCCTGCAGCTGGGATGCCAGAGCCTTCTTCCATCTGGGATCCAAAGGATGGTCATGTCTCTGAGAAGAGTGCCAACTTCTGTTTGTAACAAGGACTACCTAGGGCTTGTTCTTTTCTTTGTCTGCCAAAAGATATGTTCAGACCAACAGCATCATTTTGTAAAATGGTTTATCATTTAAAATACTCATTACTCTGGAAGCTCAGGTCTGCTGTCTTCCTCAGATTGAAGATTCAGGCTCCCACCCACCAGTGTCCTAACCACAGTGCGAGCCTGTGGTGGTGGAGGAGGAGGGAGGCTCCTCTCACTCAGATTCTGTCACTATGGAGCAGACAGCTGAGGGAGAGCAAGTGTAAGGAGAGGCCTAGTGCTTGGGGTGCTGAGAGAGGCATGCTAGGGCCTGTTTCCCATCCTAAGGGTCTTTATCCTGTGCCTGTTTAATTGAAAATACAAAAAAAAAGATACCTCTGTCAGGGACAGTAATGCAGCATTCTTTCTGCAAACCCATAGCCTAAATCATGGGCTCATGCTTTCTCTCCTATTGCTTGAGTGCTTAATTATTTCACAGAGAGACAGAGTGAGGGCTGAGGACATGTTCCCTGACCCCAGAGTATTATTGTTTCCTGCTGGTTAGGAGGAAGATGCTAGAAGATGTGCCTCCTGAGGAAGGATGAAGTGTTGAACCCACATTACTCTCCTAAGGTGAAGATATTTTAGGCAATTAGGCTTTTATGGAGAAAATGGGTGACAAACCCACCTTAAAACTTTGCAAAGGAAGCATCCCGTCTTGCTGGTTTGTGCTGCTCTTTTTACATGTGGTGAGATTTGCAGCCCCTGGTGATATGGGCTATTTGCAAGAGGGGTGCTTGGGCTCTGAAGGAGACTGTCCCATGATACCACCTGTCCAATGGTTTCAGTCTCCCACTCCAGAGATGCCCTGAAGTAGAAACAGGTATGCAGAGGTTTAGGTGCAACAGGGAAAACCCTAGTGAGCAACACTTCCAGACTTGAGCACCAGATGGACACTGTTTGGATTGCAATTGTAAATAAAAGCTTCGTATTTCTCTTTCTTTTACCTTCTAGTGACATCTAGCCCTTTTTCCCCCCTGTGCCTTCTTTATCTGCACAGTGGGAGCAACACTAGGTGTTTCCCACAGAAGTAGTGAGATCGTGCTTTTGCACAGTCTGAGGGTCAGGGTCACTGAGGCATGATGATAACCAGAGGTCCTCAAAAGTTTGCTTGAATGCTGGCTAGGCCATTGAACTACTGACTGATAGAAAGTGGGTATAAAGAGACTTGCTGAAAAGAGGCAAGATGGTGATGGGAGGTAGGGCAGTTTCTGCCAACATATTTTCATGCACGTATGTCCCAGAAGTCAAAGCAGACAACAAAACTGAGGCCCTATTTTCCTGGCTGTTGCATGGTATTCAAAGATGGGAAGAATCTATTTTAATATCTTATTGGTGAGATCTATAGTAGCTCTGAGCCCTCAGAATATAGAAAATATTCTTTTTCTCCTTTCATTTTCAGTGGGTTTAAATTGCTGAGATTTAAATCTATCTGAAATAGTCTTAGAGCATCCCTCCCTGTACAAGATGCAATCATCCATCCTTCCCAATGGCTGACTTCTCTACTGACTGCAGCACTCAGCACATTTTCTCAGTGTCTGCTGGGAAATGTTCTCATAATAAATCATTACCTGTTTGCATCAGGATATGCCCTAGACTTTGCTAATCTGTGTTTACTATGCTAAGACTTTCCCAGCAGCTTAGTGCTAATACACTGGATTTTAAGGGTTTTCACAGTAGCAACTCTTTCAGTAGCCAGTCACCTCAAGGGTTTAATTAATCCAACAGGATTAAGTTTTTTGTACTTGGCTACCACAGGGGTGGAAAAAGCCTGTCCTACCTCAGCATCTGTAGTGCAAGTAATGTTGTACAAATAATCTTGTTATGGTATGAAAATTATATTTGCATTCTGTTTTCTTAACATTTTAGTTCAAGCTGTTCCTTTTCACAGCCATTACAACCCCCCACCCTCTCCTTTATATCCCTGATAAAACCAGTCAGATTATCTGGATGGAATCTCCATGGATATATGAATACTTCTTTGAAACCAAGTTCATTCAGGGTTGCAGA